GCAATGATAGAATAAAATCGCACGACAAAGAAGAATAGAAGTGAAATTGTTCCTAACTCCACAGCCTCTGGAAGATAAGTACAGTTGTTTCCGTACCGATCCTCCAGACTCTACTAAGTTTACTCGTGACTCGTGAGAACTATGTAACCTAGTGCTCTGATACCAACTTGTCACGGCCCGGCATTCCCACCGTCGGGATCGTGATGGCGCCTAACATTTCACTTGCAAGGCAAGCCAATGTTAGAACAGTTTATCCATTTTTAACAGTTTGAATTAAATACTAAGAAAGAACTGAAATCATTGAAATAATCTAAAGTATAAATGCAGAAGCTAAAACTGCCAAACATCTCTTACAAATCCCTAAACCTGGTGTCACAGGTGCACGAGCTACTAGAATAATACATACAAGGGTTTGAAATAAATATAGAGTCGTCTTAATGAAAATACACATCTAAATAAAGGAAGAGAAGGGGACTCCAGGAACTGCGAGCGTTGAGCAGCTGTACCTCAAGTCTCTGTACACTGTCCGATCCGAGCTCACTGATAACCGCTACTGGGACCGACTCAAAAATCTGCACAAGAAGTGCAGAGTTTAGTATGAGTACAACTGACCCTATGTACTCTGTAAGTGCCGAGCCTAACCTCGACGAAGTAGTGACGAGGCTAAGGCGGGTCACCTATACTACAACATGTACGCAGTATATAACAATGACAGAAAATGGAAATACGAAACAGGATAGAACAGTCAATTGAAAATAATAACTACAACTTCAAGAAGTAAACCCGTGTCGTCCAGAAGTTACTAGTCCTTAGTATTTCAAATGAGAATACTGAAAATCAAACACAGCTCAAGAAATGGAAACATATAGATTAAGGGGGGGCGCAACCTGGTCCCACCGTACAACATAGATTCCTCCCTTATTTCACTGTAATAGCATCAACAACAGAGATAATATATAAATATGTTGCGGCGCGCAACCCGATCCTACCGTACAGTACGAATCCACCCTTATTATACATGCTGCGGCGTGTAGCCCGATCCCACCATATCAGTACCAAATACTCAATAAACATAGTCAAATGAACAGTTCAAGCCACAAAACCCTTTACGATCAATAAATACCAAACTGAACCAAAGAGGAAACCTTGTACAATATAGGAATCTACACAAGTAAAACTACACAGCGAGACCAATCCAGTAATTGAAAGTGAGAAAGTGCAAATAAGTCCTGTTAAGCAATTAGCAGGGAATCATGAAACTATGAAAAGAGCTAACGTCATTAACAGGAGAAAATATTGATTAACAGATAGCAATTGAGCATGGAAAGCATTTAGGGCACATAACAGCTAAAGCAGGGAAGAAAATAATCAAGAAAATATGAAAAATCAGGGAAAACAGATAATTCGGCGGCGTATAGGCACTCGTCACCTCGCATATACGCCGCTCACATGAGAATCACATAGCACATAGTTCGAGGGTTCCTAATTCCGTCAAGTCAAGGTTAGACACAACACTTACCTCGCTCCAAAGACCACTCAAAGCTCAACTACATCTTTGCCTTTCATACAAGCCTCCGAACCAACAATATCTAGCAAATTACCAACTAAACGATTCAAAATAAGCCTTAGGAATCACCCACGATTTCAAAAGATTCAATTTAGGTCATTATTGAAAAAGTCAACAAAAGTCAACTCTCGGGCCCGCTTGGTCCCAGCCCGAAGTTCGGACCTTAACCCGATTAACGTTCACCCCCCGAGTCCGGTTATGTAATTTATTTTGAACTCGGACCTCAATTTGAGGTCTAAATATCAATTTCTCAAAAATCCCTAATCCTACCCAAACCCCCAATTTTTACCATGAAAACACTAGATTTTAGGTTGAAATCTTAGGAAATGTGATGAAAGATTGAAAGAAAATGGGTTAGAATCACTTACCAATGATTTGGGGAAGAAAGGGTCTTGGAAAAATCGCCTCTAGGGTTCTAGGTTTTGAAAATTTGATGAAAGAGAGAAAAATCCCGTCTAACTCAACTTTTACACAGCTGCACCTTCGCAATTGCGAAGCCTCAAACATTTCTGCTTCCATTGCAAATGCGGACAAATTGTTCGCAAATGCGAACCTAAGGGGATCGCAATTGCGACCCCTGTTTTCGCAAATGCGAAAAGTTCCACCCAGCCCACTACTCGCAATTGTGATGGTCCCTTCACTAATGCGAGGCTCGCATCCAGACCTCGGAAATGTGAAGTCTGCAGATCTGCTACACCAGCTATGATTTTCTAAGTACAAATCACTTTGTAGCGTATCCGAAACTCAGCCGAGCCTTCGGGGCTCCAAACCAAACATGCACATAAGTCCAAAAATATCATACGAACCTGCTCGCGCGATCAATACGCCAAAATCACACCTAGAACTAAAATGAAATTTTCAAGAAAATTTTAAAAATTATATTTTCACAACCGAACATCCAAATCACATCAAACCAACTCCGTTTCTCACCAAATTTGATCGACAAGTCATAAATATAATAATGGACCTGTGCCGCGTTCCGGAACCAAAATACGGACCCGGTATCAACAAGATCAAACATCAGTCAATTCTTAAAAATCATTAAACTTTCAGACTTTCAATTTTCAACAAAATTAATAACTCGAGTTAGGGATCTCCGAATTCGATTCAGGCATACGCCCAGGTCTCAAATTACGATACGGACCCACCGGGACCGTCAAAATACGGATCCGGTCTGTTTGTTCAAAACGTTGACCGAAGTCAACTCAAATGAATTTTAAAGGAAAAAAATTCTTGTTTTTAACATATAAGCCTTCCGGAAAAACACCCGGACCACGTACGCAAATCGAGAAAGATTAAAATAAGATATTTAAGGCTTCGAAATACGGAATTAGGTTCTAAAACATAAGATGACCTATCGGGTCATCACAGAAGGTCGAGTCAAGGACTCGATCGAGCACAATGAAAAACTTAGTAACTGATGAAACCATAGCATGCAACTCAACATAGTATACTAGTGAAGGGAAATTTAAATTCTCTTCACTAATATAGAGTCGGCTATCAGTACAAATATGAGGGACTTATGTTATGTACTTTTACATATGTTAGTGTGCGTAATTTAACTAATCAATTACTAGATTACTTCCCTTCACAATATGCCAAATAGGGAAGTGTTGTCTCATTATATATAAATACGTAGTTTTCAAATCCTTCTGGAGAATACATGACGGCTTATTGTTTGTTTACCTTTTGGTGATACCATCGTTCAATCTGGAAAAGTAAAGATTAAAAAGAGCGAATTCTTCCCCTTTCAAACTACTAGCAAATTTGGTCAAAGTAAAAGAATTTGTCAACGCCCCTCCCTCCCCTCCCTATTTGAAGGACAAGCAACTTCTTATGAATGAGAAAAAGCTACACCCGTCCTCGTTTCAAAAAGATTGTTTAATTTGATTTGGCACAAACTTTAATAAAGAAGATAAGACTTCTAAGATATGTAATCTTAAATAAGCCATAACATTGTGTTACTGTAAAACTTTTGAAATGTGCCAACCTTTCCAAAACATATGGGGTATCAAATTGCTAGGAAATTGAAGGACTCATCTTGATGTTTTACGAATGAGGGAAAAAAGGTCAAACGAAGAGACAAAATTCAACAATAAAGAAAGAAAACATCTAAAACGACTACTTGTACGCAACTCTTGCTACTATTCCAACAAACTTCTTTTATCAACAGACAGACCAAAAAAGTTTACAAAATATGGGTCCTAGCACAGCTAGACTACATAGATAGACCAAAATATGATAAGTTTACCAAAAATAGCTAAGAACAAAACACGTTAAATATGTCAGCACGGCAAAATACAAATGAATTATGGGTTCCGAGAAAGCACTTTGTTTTATTTTCTGTTTTTCGTGTTCATTTGATTTTCGGAAATTAAGTCTCATTTTACAAATTAACTTTATTAAACTATGTTCTCTGTTTTCAAAATACGAATAAGGATCTGGCCATGAGACTATAGTAAAATACGTGGTAAATATCTGGTATTTAAAACTACACAAAATGAGGAAAAGTATTAATAAGTCAATAAATGCATGATATTTTTTTTGCATATTAGCTTTTTATTACTTAACCATGGACTATTAATACCTGTCACCCCATTTTCATACTATATTTTTTATTAGCCTGTTTCAAAAAGAATGACATATTTAATTTTTTCTTAATAAAATGTTTTTATATCCACATATATGTTATGATATTTTTAAAATCATAAATTTCAAAAGTTTTATAGCTACACCAAATATATGAAATATTTAAAATCACAAATTTCAAAAGTTTTTCTTTTTTATGAAACTTTGTGCTATGTCAAACTACAAAGTATATAATTATCCTTCGTTCTCTTAATCGAATTGCAATTAATCTCAATCAGCCCAATCTTATACTAAAAGCATTGAGCCGAATACACCTAGGGCATGCAATCGATGCCCTTGGGAGTACCTATTAATGTAAGGGGGCTCTAAGCAATCCTGAGTGAAGACATGTCGAAATGAAAGATAAATCTATGCACGAGCTTACGTAAACATAGTTAAAAGCGGTAGATAGCTTGGTTCCTCTATATATATATATATATATAAAAGTCATGATTAACGAGAATTTATAATCGAACTTTGACAAATTGAAGCGGAAGGAGTATAATTTTGTGCAAATATTTTCCTACGATGACAATATCATATTCAAATCAAATAACCACTATCACTAGTACTAATTAACGTAGAATTTCATAGAAGTTTCAGCTTATATGAATGAAAGGCAAATATGGGGAAAATTATAGGCCTTAATTGAACGCGTTAACAATCTTTCGCCTGCTTATTACTACGTGATGTTGACAACGATAGCCTCCTTGTAATTTCATCGTTAACATAATTCAACAATTTCTCTTCTATATAATCTTCCTTCTGCTGATTAAAAAAAGTCTTCCTTCCATTGATGAAAAATTGTTACTCCTATAAAAAGAGCAAGTCTTCCTTCCACTGCTTCTGAGTTCTGATTCTTAATTAATTTCTTTTCACACTTCGCAATTAATTTCCACCCTTTTGGTGCCCTCACACATGGGACATGGCCTATGATCCACATAAACACCAAACCAAATTTATACTATAATATATATTTAACAATCACACGCCACAAATTTTAATCACATATTCTATAAAAGTCCAATGATCGTCTTTTTCTAGCTATCTTAATCACTTTTCCAACAATACAAGAAACTATCAAACAAATATTATCTTTCCCCTTATAAGTTGTACATCACTTGGTTTATTTTTTCTTGATTTATTAATTAGTCTCACTTTGCTTTATTCATTTCTCTCTTCCATACACACCATCACCATTTTATTAACAAAGTAATGGATATATTCCGCAAAGCCAAGGCTGTAAGATTCAAGAGTCATCTGGACAAGTACCTAGTTGCAGATGATGATCAAGAAAACACTCGTCAGAGCCGCAACGGCTCGTCGAAAAAATCACGGTGGCTGGTGGAACTTGTCGAAGGAAGCAACCACCTTATCAAACTCAAGAGTTGTCATGGCAAGTACCTCTTGGCTTCTGATATTGCATTTCTTCTTGGCATGACGGGAAACAAGGTTACTCAGACTTCACCTGAAAATACGAACGACTTGAGAATTGAATGGGAACCAATAAGGGATGGATTTCAAGTGAAGTTAAAGGCTTTTGGTGGAAGATATTTACGTGCAAATGGAGGGACACCACCTTGGAGAAATTCTGTCACACATGATAGTCCTCACACTGCGTCTACACATAATTGGATTTTATGGAACGTGGAAACTGTTGATATACCGGAAAATGAAATGTTGACGGATTATTTATCGATGGTTTCGAGCTTTTCGTCGGTTTCCGATGAACTTTCCGGCTTGGATATGGGATCTCCGGTCATGAGTACACGTTCAAGCTTCTCTTCCTCGCCAAAGATAGCAAAGGTATGTTTCTTAATTATGTCAATTTAAGTTTTTTTTTTCCTTTAGAGTAAAAAAGATTTCTTAGAAGTCAATAAAAGTTACTACAATCTTTCGTAAATCACGGTTATGTAGAGTCTATAAGTTACGTACAATCGTGGTTTATTAACATGAAGTAATTAGGAACAAAATAAAGCTCTTTTTTCTTCTCCAACATGACAAGTAACCGTAATGATAACATGTAATATGAAGACAAAGTACGTGCGATCCAACGTTGATAATAAAAGAGGGAACAACATTAACACGTGAAGGGGTCTTTCATTATGTTCATACGATGTCAAAATAAAAATACTATAGCAAGATAATTAGAAATCTTTCGGTACTAACATATGAAGGTGTCTTATTACTTGCATTAAATGTGTTCTCACAATATTAGAATATAAAATTCAACACAAAGATAATTATAAGTCCAATTATTAGCATGTTGTCACAAATTTATCTAAATTTAATGTCAAAAACTAACTCATGAGGTCGAGAATTGCGGTTTTTTTTAAGTTGTTTAGGCCTCTCTCTTATCCCAATGTAAACTTATGAATCTCACATGTATTGGTCCGTCCATTCAGCGTAATTGAAGAGGAATGGGAATAGTCCCAAACACCAAATAACTAGCAACAGTTGAAAGTTATAAGAGATCTTGGAAGAGGAAGGAAGAGGATGAGAGGAAGAGACAGAGGAACAGACATAATCCTTGAGATAAGAAGGTTGATGGACTGTTCTGGTTGACTTTCTCAAAGGTGGAGGAAAAGAAATAATAGGAGAAGAATCAGATGTAGGAGAAGGAGAAGGAGAAGGAGGTGAAGGAATATGGGAATCTGGAGATGTGGAAATAGCAGGAGTAGGGGAAGATGAAGAAGAGGAGGAAAAGTCTACAAATTCAGACATGGAAGAGGAGGAAAAAGTAGAAGGTGGATCAGACTTATAGGAAAATACATGTTCATGAAAGACCACATTCCTGGAAAAGAAAATGGAATGGGTATTAAGGTTAAGAAGTTTGTAACCCTTTTTACCAAAGGGGTACCCCAAAAATATAGAGGGAATAGCTCTAGCTTGGAATTTATCTCTGCCAACTCTAGATGAAGTAGCAAAACACAAACAACCAAAGGACCTTAAATGATCATAAGGTGGAGGTAGACCATGAAGTTTTTCATAAGGAGAAAGACCCTTTAAAACAACAGATGGAAGTCTATTAATGAGGTAAGTGGCAGTCATAACACATTCACCACAATACTTGAGGGGAAGGTTAGATTGAAAGAGAAGGGCTTTGGAGATTTTAAAATAAATGTTTGTGTTTCCTTTCAACTACCCCATTTTGTTGAGGGGTGCGAGAAATAATGGTCTGATGGAGGATGCCTTGGCTTGAGAAGAACTTGGTGGCTTCAGAACTTCCACCAAGTTCAAATGCATTATCAGACCTAAAAGTTTGGACATAAGATTTAAAATGGACTTTAACCATAACAGTAAAAGCTTTGAGGATAGAAAGAGCATTGCTCTTGCGGGAAAGGAGATGAGTCCATGTAGCTCTAGTGTAATCATCAACTAAGGTTAAAAAATATATGAAACCATTGTAAATTCTAGTGTTATATGCACCCGAAATGTCAATGTGCACTAGTTGAAAAGGGGCAGAAGTGTGGATAACACTCTCAGGAAAAGGCAATCTCTGTTGTCTTGCTAGAGGACACACGAAATTTTGTTTAGAAGACACCTTATCAGATAAGAAGGGAATAGTTTTCATTCTATGATAAGACATGTGCCCTAACCTTTGATGCCAAAACAAGTCCAATTTATTATGGCAATAAGATTTATTACAATCAGGAGTACCATTAGCATGTGTAAGAACATGACTTGACTTATCAGATACAACTGAAGCAGAAGCAGGTAAAACACTAGAAGTAGAAATAGAACTAGGCAAACAACTAGAAGAAATATTCAGAGAATCAGATGGAACAGGAAAGAGATCACCATCTGGATGGAGGTAGTATAGCTTGCCTGCAGCTTTACCAATTTCCAGTGGCCTCTTCAGAGAAGGGCCCTGTAAAGAACAAATAGATTTGGTAAAGAGTGCTTGACAATCTAGTTGATGAACTGATATCAAATTGAAATGAAAAGAGGGCACCAGAAGAACATGAAGTAAAATTATATCATGACTAAGATAAAGAGATCCAGTTGACACAACTTTAGCTTTATATCCATTAGGTAGAGTAACAAGGAAAGGTTTGATTAATGGTTGGACATTGAAAAGAAGATGTTTATGTGGGGTCATATGGTTTGTGGCCCATGTATCTAAGATCCAAGGGTTGACACCTAAATGGGAAGATGCACACACATAAGAAGCCTCAGAATCTACAGCATACTTGCTAAACAAACCTGCAAAGTGTGCAAAGGCAGATTGATCCACATTAGAGGCATCAGATGTGGAAGTGTTTGACATTTGAACTTGTTGGAACAAAGTCAGCACGTGTTGATACTGCTCCTTGGTAAATCCATGTGCTGAAGGTTCGGCTTGCTGAGAAGTAGTAGTAACAGCAGTGTTGGATGGACTTTCAGTCTGAACACAGGAGGCATATCTCTTACTTTTAGTGAACTTGAAATCAGTAGGGAATCCATGAAGTCTGTAGCACTTATCTACAGTGTGGCCAGGCTTCTTGCAATACTTGCAAGAGACATTTGGAGCAGCTTTCCCGGCCTCAAAGTTCACTTTTTGACTGAAAGTTCTGTTTGTATTAGAAGGACTAGGAGACACCAAAAAGGAAGTTGCATCACCAGATAGGTTAGGAGCAGTAGAGTGAGCTTCCCTTTGACTCTCATCTTGTTGTAAAAGACTATAAGTTTTGCTGATTGGTGGGAGAGGGTTCATTAACATGATAGCACTTTTAACAGTTGTTATGAATCATTTAGACCATTGAGGAACTGAAATAATTGTTGGTCCTCTATGAATTTAGGCAAAGCGCCACATGAGCAAGTGGGTCCTACATATGAAGAATTCAGCTCATCCCACAAACTTCTCATCTTTGTGAAATAGGAGGCTATATCAGAGGAGCCTTGACTAGTAGAGCTGATTTTTCTTTGTATTTGAATGTATTTAGACCCATTTGATTGGCCAAACCTTTCATTTATGTCTTTCCAGACTTCCTTAGCAGTTTTAAAACACATTACACTAACAGCTATTTCTCTAGATACTGAATTGGTTATCCAAGCTTTAACCATATCATTGCACCTTTCCCAATATGGATAATAAGGAGATTCAGGAGTGGGTTGACTGACTCTACCATCTAGTAGGCTGAGTTTATTCTTTGCAGAAAGGGAAGTAATCATATTGTTACGCCATAATACAAACCCATATCCATTAAATGGAAAAAAATACCAATTGACTTCCAGGATTATCTGAGGGATGGATATAGAACGGATGTGAAGGATCCAAGGAAAAGGGAACAAAACCGTTGGAAGTTGAAGAGGAATTAGTTTCATCTACTACAGACCCCATTTTCACCAGAAACTAAGTTTGATACTAAGAAATTACGGTACCATGTTGAATTTATCAGAAACAAACTCAAATCATGTACATGCAAGCAACATCGACATAAAAAACAACAAAACTTGTGATTAGGAGTGGCAGAGATACCGTCCTTCTTCTAAGAACCCGAAGAAGTAAGGTCTTGTATAGCCATGAACCCTAGGTTGAGCAAATCCAGCAGAAAATACCGTGTATTTTGAAGATTATCGACGATTCTCTCAATAGAAGTCGAAAACCCGTGAAACTTGAGCGAAACCCCAAACTTCTACGAACGAATTCTGAAAACCGACGATCTGGTACGATCCTTAGCAATTTCAAACGAGGCTACCATCGGAAGAAAGGTTATGACGAGAAGAATCTATATTCCTGCTCTGATACCATGTTAGAGTCGAAGCTCGATAGTCATGGCGGAAGTTAGTAGAAGAAAACCCTAGAAGGGTTGAGAGAAGAAGGAGACTGAAAAATGAGTCGGTCAAGTTTTTAATTGACCAAAAATCCAAAATGTATTACTCAGTATTCTCTATTTATATTTACATGTGTAATAAAGCATAAAATGTAATATAAAATATAAAGTGTAAAACTATAAAAGGGCCTTCTGCTTTCCCTTGGCAGATTGGGCCTGTGACTGTTGGGCCTGAGCTGTATCTGGGCTAACAGAAAGTGCAACAATGATGTCGTTGGTTCGAAGATAAGTTATATCGGGATTAGTTATGTTGGGATTAATTATACTGGAACTAGTTATGTTAAGATTAATTATCCTAGTAATATTTCTTATTGAGTGTTTGGTATGTTATGTTAATCCTGAGATAGTCAATTTTATTGCTTTATCCTGGGACAACTTATCCTAGGATTACTAGTCCACTCTCCGGCAGGTGTAAGTTATTCCGGTACAAATTTTAATTCTGGAATAACTTATTCCAAAAATAGTAACCAAACAAAGGATTAGATGATACTATATTTTTATCTCATGATTATTTTTATTTATTTATCGTACCAAACGATCAGTTGAGGATGGACTTATATAATTAGATATGTGATAAATAAGTAATATGTTCTTCTACGAAAGAGAAACTCAAAATTCTACACACAAAAAAGAAAAACAATTAACCCATGAACCGAACAAAGCCCTTTCTGTCTACTTTTTTCACAGCCATCATAATATCATATATTCCTTCCGTTTCAATTTATGTGAACATATTTGACTGGATACGGAGTTTAAGAAAAAATAAGACTTTTGGAATTTGTGGTCCTAAACTAGTCAAAAAGAGACCCAGAGTATTTGTGCGGTTATAAAAGCTTCTCATTAAGGGTAGAATTGTAAGTTTAAGCTAAATTGTTACCAAATTTAAAAAAGGGTCATTCTTTTTTGAACGGACCAAAAAGAAAATAGGTTCACGTAAACTGAAAGGGAGTAGATCTTTTGGGTAGACGGTAGAGATCTAGAAGGTTCAAATTGCAAGTGAGCTTCCTAATTCCTCTTCTTCTTTTTTCTTACATCTAGTTCTGAAAAAATGAAATCCACTAGAAGCATGAGGTTTGTTCTTCCACTAATACAATTTTTTTTGGCTTTTTCTACCATTAATATAAAAAGTTGTGTAAATGAAATAATACGTAGTAGGTCTACAGTAAACCACAGCATTTATGTAGAACAGGACTGACCTATTTCATGAGTTGGAAGGTCAAACCTTTGACTATGAGTCAGCAGGGCTGCTAGATCTTATCCTTGAAAGTAAATAACTACTTCATTTTTACTTGACACGTTTTGATTTTTCATGCCCCTTAAAAATAATAAATGAAGCGTATAATTTACCATAATACCCATATTAATTGATGTATATTTTATTGGATTTGAAAAATTAATTTGAAATGAGTAATAAATATAATGGGTATAACAAGAAAAAAAAATATTTTCTCTTGATTTATATAAAGTGACAAGTAAAAATAAAAATCTATTTTTAATATACACGTTGTAAAAGTGAACGGAGGGAGTAATTATGATATTAGAAGCCTTGGTCGTTTAAAACAAAGCTTGTTTTTGTTCAACTATCTTTTCCCCAAGTTTTTTCTTATTCAACAAAGATGGCTCAACAGTAAGGGACGTTTATATCAGAGTTTGTATAACCTGAGTTGAAATTTTCAAAAAGGGCCGTTTGAGCTTTTCTTGTAAAAGAGATAATATTAAGGTTCTATTTGTTTGGAGTTTCCAGAAAAACTTTGCAAAGCTCAGTTTACGTTTTTAAAAGTAACTTTTTTCTTTAAATAAAAATTCACTCAATTTTTTAAATCTTCCAAAAATAATTTGATGAGGTGGTCAATGGGGCCAAATTTTTATGTTATAATGCCCCAACATTAGAACACAACTTCATTTCTTTTTAGCTTGTTTTAAAAAGAATAATTTTTTTTTTTAAAAT